GGGGGGGGGGGCAGTCTGAGGGGGAATTTAGGAAATCCCCCTTTAGAGACGCGTGCCCAGCGTTCCTCCCTCTGCCCCGCCAGAGTGGTGGCTGGAGGCCTCTCCCCGGCCGGCGGCGCTTGGGGGGGATTGGGGACCGGGGCAGCCTCAGGCAGCTGTGGAGCGATCGGTGGGAAGCCAGCCAGGGCAGGCTAGCAGTTCAGTCTGTATTTACGTCCCTTCCTGTATGGGGCCTCACGTTCTGGTCGGCCACTTGTGCCCAAGGGGGACAGAAACACCCCCCCACACACACACACACACCTACACACTGTTCTTATGAAAATGCTGCCCAGCCCCTCTCTCAGTGGAACATGCCACTCTTCTGTGGCCCCGCAAATGCACCCGGCTTAGCCCTGCCTTTACAAGAGGCAGCTTGCTCTCCCTTGTGCAAAGAAAGTACATTTGCAGGCAGTGAATGTATTTCAGTCAGAGACTGAGCATTTTTCTTGCTACAGAGTGAAAATGGCCTCGAGACGAATTACGCGGGAGACTTTTGATGCTGTGGTGCAAGATAAAGTTAAAAGGTATCGGATGGACCGAAACGATGCTATAGAAGAGACAATCCATCATTTTAAAGGTAAGGCCCAAATCAGTGCTCAGTTTGCCTCACCTGTGGATTATGGCAGTTGCTGTACAGATCATAATTTTTTTATATCTTTAAATTTTCTACTTTAAATTTGCATTAATATAGCCTTTCCCTGCGTTTTTTTGTGTAAGGGCAAAGAGACGTGGCCCACACACTTTATAGCAGGGGTCGGCAACCTTTTGGAAGTGGTGTGCCGAGTCTTCATTTATCACTCTGATTTAAAATGTATTACGCGTGTCAGTAATACATTTTAACGTTTTTAGAAGGTCTCTTTCTATAAGTCTATAATATATAACTAAACTATTGTTGTATGTAAAGTAAATAAGGTTTTTAAAATGTTTAAGAAGCTTCATTTAAAATTAAATTAAAATGCAGAGCCCCCCGGACCGGTGGCCAGGACCCGGGCAGTGTGAGTGCCACTGAAAATCAGCTCGCGTGCTGCCTTCGGCACGCATGCCATAGGTTGTCTACCCCTGCTTTATAGTGATAGACTCAAGGAGCTCAGTCTGTTGACCTTAACAAAGGAAGATAAGGGGTGACTTGATTACAGTTTGAGTATCTACACAGGGAACAAATATTTAGTAATGTGGTCTTCAGCGTAACAGAGAGAGGTGTAACATGGTCTAATGGCTGGAAGTTGAAATGAGATCAATTTAGACTGGAAATGAATAAATTTTTAACAGTGAAAGTCATTAACTATTGGAACAACTTGCCAGCATCGTGGTGGATTCTCCATCATTGATATTTTTTTAAATCAAGATTGGATATTTTTCTAAAGATATGGTCTAAGAATTATTTTGGGGAATGTCTAGGCCCTGTGTTATACAGGAGGTCAGATTAGATGATCACAGTAGTCTCTTCTGTCCTTGAAATTTATGAATCTACGAATCAGATATTTTAAGTAATTATTTCTTGTGCAAAACCCGAGACTTTTTTAACATTTTTTGTTTTTCTATTACAAGGTGGAAAGTGCAAGAAGAGAGAGAGAAATAGTTCATAGAATTGGACTTGGGCTCTAATTCAAGGAGATGTGTAGGAGTGCTGGTTGCTCAGATTTCTAAATGTGCTTGACCTCTCAGTACATTAACGCATTTTATGTTGTACTCATTTCTTCTTTTAAACTATTTCTTGCAGCTCATTCAAGATCAGTTTCAAGACCCAGGTATGAAGACAGTTTTCATGATGATGGAAGATATTCACATGATGGTCCCCAACACCATCCGCATGACGACTGGAGAGGAGACACTCGAGAGGACTATCCAGGGCCTTCTTATAGATCTAGTAGCCCTCTCATGAGGAAAGATGATTACTACCATGACCACTATGGCCGCCCTGCCTCTCGGGACCGGGACTATGGCCGCCCTGCC